TTAGTGAACTGGGATCACCATATGTAAAGTGATTATGAGAAAAGCAGATGATTGAAGGTTGGAAACATGCTGAGCTGGATTCTTATTTCACATAGACTATCACCTCTGGGCTCGAATTCCTTACATTTGTGTTACTCGGCTTTCGCAAGTTTTCCCTGACTTTCATACAATACAATAATTCCATGTCCGTGTGATTTAATCTATCACAGCTAAATTGCATTCTGTAGCAACAAATCTAAATTAAAATGATGTAGTCTTCAGAAATGAGTAAGACTCAAAACAGAAGATCATCACCTATCTCCTATTCATCAAAGAACGCACACAGCGTTTATCCAACAGGTTAAGAGTGCCTATTAATTAATTTAGGATAAAAAGTACATTATTTTTTATGACCAAACAATGCTAAGAAAAAGACAATTCACACAGGGAGCCCAGGGCTGCATACAACTGAAAACGAATTGTATTAGGTTCAAAGCAGAGACAAAGATTCGAACTAAAATAGCTTTATTCCATCTGACATTTATAAAAAAGAAAATAACAAATAACGAAAAAGTGCACAGGGCACTAAATGACACTATGTCAGATGTGTCGGCATCACCTCTAAGTTCTTCTCTAAGTATTCGGCCGTGAACTCTTTCATTATCTATTTTCTTCTTTATAAATGTTGGCTGGAATAAAGCTATTTTTTTCTCCATACACAAGATTGATTCCAGATCTTTGTCCCAGCTTTGGACCCACTATTCCTGCAATTCTTGTTATGTTGATGGTGGGTAAGTACTCTCGTGCTTGCTACGAGAAATATGTGGATTTGTACTTTTCTATTACATGTATTGCTTTTTGCCTCCGGACTGATTTATTATGTGAGGCATAGGAATTTGCTTAGCGTGGTCCACATTAGAAGCTATATTGTATTGTTTTAATGGGAAATGTTTGCCAATTTTTGTTTGTATGGTAAACATATTTCATTGGTTAACCCTATCTATATTAAATATGTTCTAAGTAAACAGCAATCCTATTTTTAATAATTGAGTGAGTTTTCTGTATACATTGTTTTTTTCCCCTTAACTAAGTCCTCAATTCTCTCTTCTCTTCCATCCATCTCAGTTTTCATTTCTCTTTTTCAACCTCATCATCTCAATCATTTCATAATGTTTATTTTGTTTTCTTATTGTTTATTATATTAATGTATGGTGCCTTGGCTCTTAAAACTGAAGTGGTTAATTATTTGATGTCGTTTCTCATTTAGAACAGGTCATTGAGGCGAGCTCTTTTCTTTATAAGAAGAACGGGTTAACTCTTTTACCATTAAATGACATACAAGGGGACACACAAAACGGAGCTATACTGTTAAATCCTGCAACAATGGAAGCCGTTATTATATCACCAGACATGCATTTAGCTGACCCAGCTTTGGAGAGCTACAATTAAGTATGTTTCAGCAGCAGAGTGTGTTATTATATCTCATGGTTAGCACACAACTTAATCTCGGTTTACTCTCTGTCTAAGCACACACATCTTCCTTTATAACTCAGAAGCTGCGTCATTCAGTCTTTGCCCAATTATTCCACCATCTCACAAGCCATCCTTCCAGTCTCGGGACCCACATACCCCATTTCTGCTCTCTCCCACCTGACCCCTCCACCTGTTAGGGAACCATAATTCAATTTAAGCATGGACGCACTCAGCATAAGTGAATGATAGCTGGGATTTGTTCAAGGCCTTAATTGACAAATTTCAATAAGTTATCAAGTTCATCAAGGCTAATATTTATACAGGTTGGGTGTTTTGTTTTAAATTCTGCAACCCTCATGTCTCATTTAGTGAATTAACCACAATGGGATTCCATGACTGTTACATTTAAAAAAAGTTATTTTGAAATAATACTTTAAGGTTAAAATAAAAAAATTCTGATTATGATGTTGAACAAAAAAATGATTCACATTGGCCCAATTGAATAGTTTTGGATACGGTTTCCAAATTATTTATCATTTTTGGACAAACTTTGAAAAATATTTTTTTTCGACATATTAAAATATCAGAAAAAGATCTCATATTAAAAATATATGAATATTTTATTAAAAAAAAGCAAAATATTACACAATTAAAATATTGGTCATAAAATTAAATTATTTTCATTTTTTTTTTCAAAAATATTTTTATTATGCAACAATATTAAACTGAGGCCCTAATTGTTTATGAATCAAGTTAACCCAAAATTTAGATCCAAAAATGTTATAGAAGAAGTGTCGTGCTGCTTTGCCAGCCTATAGAATGGAAAAGTATTATGGAAGTTGAAATTCGAAAACATATAAGAACTCATGTCAAAGATCAATGTAAATATGTATCTGTTTGTTGCATTGTAACTGTCTGACACATACGCACATATGCATCCTTTTCATACCGCAGTACCTTCAGACAAAAATAATCTCCGATTACACATACACTTATGTAACTTGGCCCTAGAACTTAACATGGAAAAAACCTCAAGAACGTTTTTTACACTGGCCTCTATAAATTGAAACCAATTTCACGGAAGGTTAAAATCTTATCTTGTTCACGTTAAGAGTTATTACACATTTCGTCTTTAAAATGGTTCGTTGAGTCATTCCTGTCAATCAAGCTCCTTTCCAGCTGTCAAAATAGTAAGACGCAGTAAAAATAATCACATCACTCATAGCAATGTGGTTCATGTACTAAATTTACAGAAAATTGATGAACTGTAACGTATTAAGATCTGCTCCTTCATAAGCTGAATCTTATTACAGACTATAAACATTGTATGGGTTTTCATTCCAAATTTCTGTACACATTATATCGGAAACATGTTTGATGAAGAAAGCTAAAAACAAGTAGAATTTTACACTAAACTGGGAGTTGGATCTTAAATTCTAGAGTTAAAATGGAGAAATTCCAAACTGACTTGTTGGGCTTCTTCTTGACAAGTCCCAGTTTAGTGAATAATCCTGACAGTAATATATATTGAGTTTCATCACCATGACGTTCTCTACCAAGTATTATTGGATGGACAACTGGTTGATCAGTCTTGCCATAGTGCTTTATAAATAATGCAATCGTGATTAAAAATCCAGGAATTGCACAGATACCTGTAAGACACTTTAATAAGCTAAAGTTAATACCTTCAAGATGCTGACTTAGAGGTAAAGGACCATCAGGGGAGGGCCAGCAAGTGGGCAGTGGGCAATTTCCCTGCTCTGGCCACTAGCCTACAAAGGTTGTGGATTGCAGCCGTGAATATGTATGATGTTCCTAGAGGTGACTGTAGAGTGAGACGGGGCTCATCACATTCAAAACACAATTAATCTTCTTTGGTTGTAACGGAGTTGCAGTAAAAAAGATTCTGCATCTCTTAGGCATGCACAGACTTCCATTACTGCTCCATATGATATCATATCCGTTCATCAGTTCATACTGATGGACACTGCTTGGATATGATGTGACACTTCAGCAGCCTCTCAGGGTTATTCACTTAAGTGAAAATACAAATGTAAGGTCAAAATAGCCAAGCTAGAAACATTCTTTGATTTAGCTATGCTTCCAGTTTGCCTATCATGGATTCAAATTTTGTGAATAAACCAGTCTGTCTGTAAAACTCATATGTAACATGCTCCACTTGAGTAGGACCATCCACATATAAATTTGTGAGCTTTGTGCTCAAAAAAACAGCAAAAGAAGCCCATTTATTTGTGCTTTGCCTCTCCAGGCCAACAGTTGCCAGTCCTCCCCTGGGTACCATATGTCATATATGTTCCCGTTAGTCTATTGTGTTATGATAATGATGAGATTAATCTAATCTAATATTTATTTAATTGGTTCATAACTCTCAACTCATGCTACATAATGATTGTATAATTCCATCCAATAAGTCATCGATTTTGTACAATATGAAATCTCAACAGTTAAGTTTTGCAGATCTCATAAACCATGCTTTTGAGGCCTCTTTTTATTTTATGAGACATGAAGTCCAATGACACCTGCACCCCAAAGTTCTTATTGTCTATCAGACGTAGACTTCCTGAGCTTTCTTCTGATCCATGTTCCCTCTGTACCTGTGTAACGTGACTTCTCTGCTTTGCCTATTGTGGCCACACCAGCTTCTTGTGAATCTGCAGCTGACCAACATTAGTCTTGGCCCAGCCGCTGACTCAGTCCTTTACAACCAGCGAAGGTCCATCTGGACTATTCAATACCCACGTTCCTCTCTGCCACAGTGTACACTTTAATTTTTTAATATTTATATTTACTGTTTTATGTGAATTGAACATAAAAAATATGAATCTAAATTACAGTTTCAAGTAATAAAAGAATGAATAGTCAGTAGATTAGCAACAAAACATCATCATCTTCTAAGAAGGATATTAAAGAATCATTATAGGGTCAGGAACACAAACATGTATTCATGACCCTATAGTGTTAAAACCACCATCTAGCCCACCTGTGCCCCTCATGCCTCCATAAATATTGCAAAATCTTACTGTATTCAAGCCAGAAGCTGTAGATCTGTATGCTGTTTGCCTCAGAAAAAACAAGCAGTCTGCTGACATCATTCGAAGTGGTGCCCTGATCCAATCACAATGCTTCCCCATAGGATTGGCTGAGACTGACAAGGAGGCAGATTAGGGGCAAGCCAGCAGTGTTTACAGCAAAAAGCCTGAAGGTAATGATTCTACTCACCAGAACAAATTCAATAAGCTGTAGTTGTTCTGGTGACTATAGTGTCCCTTTAAATTTGAAGGGAGAACTGCAATTTTAGCAAATAGTCAGTTGACTGAGTCATCCAGTTCAAGTAATTCCAAAGGGAAAAAAAAAAGACTACAACATGGATGTATATTATTTTTTATTTTTAAAATATTACATCACAGTTTAGAATGCTTTATGATTTCATATTTATCTATGCTCAGTATAGTCAAATATCCATAATAAAATATGATTCTTGTGAAAGGAAATATTAACAACTTTAAAAAACAAAACAACAAAAAATTCCCTTTAAAATATCCCATCTGGAAAAAAAAAACATCTCACTTAAATTTTTCTTTTCTTTCAGAAAATATAATTTATTACATAACATTTACAACACAAACAAACTGCATAGCACTCCCTCTACAGAAAACATTACAGAATAATATAAGTATAGCTGATATAGAGGCAATTAATGCAGAAAAACAGAACGATTTAAGCTGCGGGTGGTGCTATTAAGGGCAGTAATATCACTTAGAAGTCCCTGTGGCACTGTGACACGTGTATGGAAGGAACATGTTCCTTTGAGGTTAAAGGGAGTAACGATAGCTGTAGTGGTTATGGTTCCAGCAGTATCCTTGCATTCCCAAGTTTAATTTATCAACTATTTTTGAACAGTTTGGCAACTTACCTGGGATGCCAAGCACATGTATTGCATTCTGCCTTCTCCTGCAAGGACTCTTGATTGGGTCTTTATTGCTCTAAAGAACAGTCAGTACAGGTCAGCGCTCATTAGCTGAGATCGTTCAGTTGATGCTCTGATCCTGGCATAGGCAACCTTCGGCACTCCAAATATTGTGGGCTACATCTCCCAGAATGCTCTTACAGCTATAATGCTGGCAAAGCATCAGGGGAGAGGTAGTCCACAACATCTGGAGTGATGAAGGTTGCATACTCCTGCTCTAATCCAATGAGTGCGGCCCTGCTTAGCTTAGTGGAGCTAAACATATTCTCATAGTCAAAATTTTATAAAAATGACAAATTACACTGGGAAGGTAGCAGGACACTCCTAGCACCATAACTGCTACAATGGGCTGCAGTGGTTACGATGCTTGGAGTGTCCCTTTAAAGGGATCAAATATCTCCTCAGACCTCACAAGAAACTTTAAAACATGGAAAATTGATAGCGCATGTTTGTTTGTGAGCTATATCTCAATCGAAATGGCTGTCAATTAAAATAAAGCATCATGATAATATGATAAAGCATTTATATTGTTTTTTAATTTGAAGACAAAAAAGTTGAGCTTGAGAATTATTTCACATGGACTTTGGTTGAAACAGTTCAAAAGATTTAGCCATCAAAATGGAAAATGTTGTTACTACTGTTGAGTTTAGTTCCGAACCAGTTGTCCACCCTGGGGACATCTTGGCCAATAAGGAAAGTTTCTAACGAGTTCATTTGATCATTTCCCCTTTTGAGATGCAGTAGTCTGTACACCAAATTTAGCATGCCACTCAGCAGTCAAAAATATAATTATTGTGTTTAAATTTGATTGATAAAACTATAAAAGGGAATATTCATAAAATAGTGAATTGCGTTGGCTTGAAAACCAACTTCCAAAATAGAGACCAAAATGATAAGTTTGGTAGATTATACGCAACACAGCAGAACTGGAGATTTCAACCAGCTTGTCTAATCTAGTTTGTTCAACATAGGTTAATATTTATTAGCCGTCTAAGTGAACAAATTGCTCAAAACATATTTCAAGAGTTTTGCTGAAATTGTAAAAGGAATTTCAGGAAAACTACCAAAGAAAATATTAATTTAGGCTTGATGAAGGGCAGATCTCTTGAATGCTTGTCATTCGAAAATGCTGTTAGTCGAATACCAAAACTATTACATGTACTATGATTATCTATTACTGTACATCTGCATTACTGAACAGAGTCAGCTACTATTTCAAGGAAAATAAAGACAGATTATTTTTGTTTATTTTGTTTATCGAACAAAATATTAAAATCAAGGCCATTGTGAATAGCCCAGAATGAAACTGCCAGACTCTAATTTGCCTTTAACAAAATGAAAAAAAAACAAACAAACTCAAAAAACCATAAAAAAGTTAAAAAAAATAAAATAAAAAAAATTACAGTGTCGTTGTGAAGCATAAACAAAATCCTGGCTTCCCCATCCTTTACTGAGACATACAAAACTTGGAAGGATTTTGTGACACATTTTTATCCATGTTACGTTTCAAGATAACTTTACTTAAAACATTATCTCGTGTAGGAGACCACTAGGCCAGTGAAAGAATGCAACGATAAGAAAGATTAGTAACAAGAAAAATATACAACAGAATTTGTTACCACAATTATTAACACGCTAAGCTTGTCCATAGAACAAAAGTTCAACCTTATATAAAATAAAACTCTTCTTTGTTACACCATTATTATGCCGAGCCCCAAAGCTGTATTAATGATTACTTATGTCATGTAACAGGTGCAAAGCATTTGCACAGGCCAAAAAAAAGGGCTATGCAACATAACTATATAAAAAGAACGCTTTATCCCAAATGTGACCATCAGTGGCAAAGTCAAAGGTAAAGTGTGGGTCTTCTTCGCAGTTATGTAGTCTGCAGTCGATGGCGAAGCTTTGACCAAAAGTCCACGCATCGGGGGTGTACTCCCTCAAGCTGATAAATACGTATGTATATGTATATATTCTTTTTAAAATGATTGATTTGGAAGTATGTAAGGCTGAGAGTCTTTATAGCAATGACATAGCAATTTATAATGATGTGTACCAGTTACATTTTAGAGAAGCACATTGTCCCCCACACTTTAACCCTATATCCTTAGACAATACAGGCACAGCGGTATACTTCCTAACCCTAATGCAATTCCTTACTCTCAGCCGAGGAAGTTACAGCTCACAACATCTTGAATGCAAACACTACAAAACTTTTTTCTCTTATTTCTCTTATGCCTAACTTCAAGCACCTCCCATACCAATCTAATCTTCTGTACCCCACATTACAGCAAAACTGAAAATGTTAAATACACACTTTAGAAAATAATATCATTGTGTGTTTGTGGCTCACACCCCATATATCTGTTTGTTATATTCTAATCAAGCATTCCATTCTAATGAAGTGTTTCAGGCTCTTTGTGAATAGAACATTGTTTCATACATTGCCTAGGAACGTTGTATAATGCCTAGACATGTTTAGATAAACAGCACATATATGCTGCGCCAAAGTAGAAAATTGAAATATTATATTCATCTTTAAGTTTCATGTAACCCTTATGGGTACATATCTGTACTTCCTGTTTTACACAAATTATGAAAATTTACCATGACTTGATCTAGACAGAACAAATGTAGGAAAACCATGACCCCCATTTCGTTCACAGTCCTGTATCATAATTCAGTCAAATTTCCCTACAGTGCTGCATTACAAACTGCGAAATCCCCGCTGTGCGTAGCGTTTAATGGATGTAACACGCAGACAGATGACCCACCAGTTCTTCCTGCTCTGGGAAAGCACAACAGTTGGGGTGCATTGCAGAATTTTAACAGATGTTTATGAAGATGTTCCTGTCTGATCTCAATTAAGGCTTTACCAGTTTTCTAAAAGTATGGCACACAAATTCTATTCACTCCATTGGATTTAATGGGTTTAAGTAACTTTAATAAATGGAGAGATTCATACAAGTTGGGGGTATCATCTATACTCTATGAATACTATATCCTACAGCACTTAATATAATTATTTTCCTCTTTTTTTATATAAATCCTCAAATAATCTTTATGTTGACGTGAGTTAATTGCAGATTTTTTTCTCCAAAAAAAAAAACCGCTATGTTGTAATTTAACAGATGGTGACTGCTATAAAAATTAGCAATGGGTGTCCTGAACCTCTCGAGCTTCGAGAAGTGGTAAATGTTGAGAGGGAAGAACATCTGCTATCATCTTAAAGCAGGAGCTAATAACTCTGCCCCCTATGGCGGGTTTAGTCTCTTCCAAATCCTAAAACTGCTACAAAAAAGTTATGTATTTATAAAAAATAATAATAAACGCACATTGACCTTTCTGCTGCTTGTTAAGCAAATCCACATATAGTCTATTTATTAACTCACACATCTACTTGAAGACTTGACCGTTGGAAAAACAAAAAAGTTAAAGCATTCTACTAATATTTTAGGCCTTGCTACAAAAAGCTATGTTTGAAATATTTTGAAGTGGGAACAAAAATATTTAGAAACATTATTATTTACCCTACTATAGGGTTCTTCTATTGCATAGAATTTGAACATATAGAGTTTAAGAATATTGAAGCCTTGGTCGTAACTTCAGCAAGTCAGATTAATACCCATGTACTCTAAATTTACTCTAAAATTATATTGAACAATTTTACCTCGGCAGCTGAGGTTCTAAGAATGCTTTCTCGCAGATTTACAGTGCTAGGTACCTTAAGATTTTACAATATTTATTTTGCAAGGAAGTTAGAAATTAGTCATTATGTTTAATTTGCATATGAGCAAAGAGTAATCAATGCAAACTAAAAGGGATGTTATGAAGACTATGCTTAATGATCATGTGTTGTAGCCCTATTAGTTTGATCTTCACGTTTCTAGGAAATGTCCAAAGTTATTTTACCATTACTAGTATATCATTATATCTACTATTATTCTACCTGGGCCTAAATGGCGTCGTCCTTTTTGTATAAGATAGATAAAACAAGGAATGCTGGACATCATAAGGCCAGAGTATTTTTAGGTTAAAATGTAGGACCCAAGTACCAAAACAAGCACTTAAAATCTCTAGACGTGCATTAGGCCATAGAATAATTTCAGGCTTAACTGCATTTTAAAATAGAGCAATGTGGTTATAGCATAATATGAACTTGTTAAAATTATTTTTCTCGAGACCAGAAAACCAAGTCAGGGAACTGAAGTAGTTTCTAAAAGTAGTAAATTAAAATATACAGAAACAGGAAGGTACACAAGATATAATTTTTTTGCAATACCGTGACCCTTTTAAAAAACCAAAATGGTTCTTCTTCATCCAATCCTTCTCTATCAATAACACCTCCTTACAAATAAACTTGTATCAAATAATTAAATCCATAAATTTTGTTTTGTACATATTCAGAATACAATACCCATTACAGATAGGTACTGGTCTAAGCAGCAGGCTAGTAAAGGCTTACAGACGGTTGAAAATGTTGTAATACACAGACTACTCCTTTAAAAAGTAATCGATTTGTTATAGTTGTAGTTGCAACATATGTTTTCATATCAATCGTTGGGTGAGGTTTGACTACCGATAGCGACAAGCCACCGCATTTACATTCTTAACCACATAAAAGCCTATGGTCAGTGGAGGGATGACAAGAGTACGTCCTGGTCGTAACGGTCTTGGCTTCAGTTCGGGTAACGTTCCATCATCCACCATCACAAGATGTTGCCCATTCAGCTGTATGGATCTATGAAGATAAATAATACAACAATGGATTATTGTTTAAACAATATGAAGCACTTTTCATAGTTTTCCCTAATTGAAATCACGCCTGGAGACCAAAGGATACTAAGATTTTTCTACTTTGTAACCTACACGAATCAGTATCATGAGGGTGTCACTGCTTTCCTGCTGTTATCTACCATAGTGATCCCCAACCAGTCCTCAAGGCTTGGTTTTGTAATTATCATGATAGGGAAAAAACTGGTAAAAGACAAAATTCTGTTTTTCTTTGGGTTGGAAATGGGAACAACTGTTCTGCAGCACCCATGAGCCATTTCTATATGTTGGAAGTTGAAACTAGGAGACCATAGCAGGTCATCCGTGATCCATTTGTTAGGACCTTAGGAAATTATACTTGATTGCAAACTCAGCATATTTTAAACAGAATGTTCTCAGAGTTTACATCTTGTATTTGTTTAAATTCTAGGTATTTGAAGCACTTGGGACAAACTTCCAGCAAATTTGTAACTTGGCCTTTGCTGAAGAACTTGGTAACTTAGTTAACATTTGGCAGAACATACAAGGCTTGTAGACAAAAAAGACTGTGAATGTCTAAATGTTTATTTTTGTGTATATCTCCCCACCTCTCTTTATTATATTATGGCAAAGTTTATGTTAAAGTAAATCAATAGCTAGCATGCCTATTATCTTGTAGAAAATTATATTTTTTTTACATTAATATTACAAATGTTTTCATTTATTTTCAAAACCGATGTTGATAAGGGTGCAATTACATTGTTATCAAGTCCTCCTGTAATCACATTACCGAAACCATAGATAATTGGGAAAACAAGCTTTTAACTTCTCATTTTCACTTTAATGTGTAATTCATAGGGCTAGCGTGGTAAAAACATTCTTTAATAGCTTAACTTTGCCTTATCTCATTCTTTCTCTTTACTCTCTTTACTTCATCCACAGTAGGCTATTTCATTCTCCACCATTCTGCACATTCACTCTTTTTCATTTTTCACAATCTTGCCCATTCACTCTTGTCCTCCACCATCCTGTCAATTCTCATTTTTATCTCCCTCATCATCCCTATTCTCTGTCTTTCTTCACTGCTTATTTTGTCGATCTCTCTTTTTATTCTGCTTATTCGCTCCATCTTCCATCATATTCATTCTTTGTCTACCACTAGGCAAGTTCCTTTCTCTTTTTAATTATTGTTCTTTAAGGCTGATATTCTTCCTCATTTTACATATTTACTTCAAATTACATCTTAAAGTAAATATGTAAAAAGTTGCTGTTTTTTGGAGCCTCTTATTTATTCTGTCCATTCTTTTTTTTGCTAATTTTCTTGCCTTATCCTCCATCCTTCCTCTCATCCCCCAACTTGACCATTCTCTGTTCCTCTCTACTTCAATCTGCACAGTCTGTCGGAAATTCTCTGTCATTTATCCTCTGTGTAATGTGCTCTCTGTGTTAGTTTCATGATGTACCCACACCCTATCTAGTGCATGAGTTCACTTTCTTTAATTTCTGGACATCTTCCAGTCTTCTTTCCCATCATTCTGCTTATTGAGCCATTAACCTTTCTACCCAACTGTCCTTTCTGTGACTTATCTCCACTATTCTTTGTGTCTTCATAAATGTTGTTCTCTCACTCCCCTTTACTTTAACCAGATGAACTCATCCAGCTTTCTGTCCATTCTCTTATTTTTCTTATTTTACATCCAACCTCTTTTTTCTCCAACCCTCCCGTTCAGTCGTTATGACTAATCCCAAGATTCGAGTTGCTTCCTTTTGATGTTATGCAAAACTATGACCTGAATTATTTTTACTAATGAACCTTTACAAGTTTAGAAAGAAAATTATACAATATATTGGGCTGGAAGAATACAATTGAAACTCTCATCCGAAGAATCATCAAAATCATTTAAACCTCATCAGACCTGGGAACCAGAGCATTCCAATCTTGGAAATATCAAGAAAACACTAGAGGGAGCTCTTGCAACTCACACAAAATAGTTGTCAAGGTGTTCAAAAACCAAACTTTAACAAAACAAAAAAAGTATAAAACTTAAAAACTTTGCCACCTCCAAAAACACCCCAAAACAAAAACAATGGAGAAGAGAAACTCACAGCATCAATGGTGTCTTGATTTATAATATATTCTACAGAGAATATAAATTGATAACATATGAAACAAATACATAGGAGAACATGTTAGTATAGTAATTATAATCTGCTTAAAAAATCAGGAGAAACGGCTATATACATTGGTATGAATAATCTTACATATTAGGATGGACAGAATGTTATTATATTACATTAGTGCTTTAAAACAATATTAAAATTGGGCAAACCTGACGAGAGCTTGGATGGGGTTAAGATATTTATTTCTTATCGTAGAAATGTGAACTATTACATCCATAGCTCCAACATATTCCTCTTTTAAACACTCCAAACATTCCATTTTTAATCCTGTTGTCCCTCTTTTCTAGATGTTGGTGTATTAACCGTTAGATGCTCACCTAGTCTCCACACCTTCATAAAATCACAAAAAACTCACTTTTTCACAAAAGCATATCAATTAAACTGTTAATGGCTCCAAGAAACCCCACACTAAGTCTTAATTGAATACTAATCTACCAATCTACTTCCCTAATACTATCCTTACCTTTTTGTGTCATTTTACCCCACTCCCTCTAGCATGTAAGCTCATTGAGCAGGGCCCTCAACCCCTCTGTTACTGTGTTACTATACCCCACTCCCTCTAGCATGTAAACTCACTGAGCAGGGCCCTCAATCCCTCTGTTACTGTGTCACTATACCTCACTCCCTCTAACATGTAAGCTCACTGAGCAGGGCCCCCTCAATCCCTCTGTTACTGTGTCACTATACCCCACTCCCTCTAACATGTAAGCTCACTGAGCAGGCCCTCAATCCCTCTGTCACTGTGTCACTATACCCCACTCCCTCTAACATGTAAACTCACTGAACAGGGCCCTCAATCCCTCTGTTACTGTGTCCCTATACCCCACTCCCTCTAGCATGTAAGCTCATTGAGCAGGGCCCTCAACCCCCCTCTGTTACTGTGTTACTATACCCCACTCCCTCTAGCATGTAAACTCACTGAGCAGGGCCCTCAATCCCTCTGTTACTGTGTCACTATACCCACTCCCTCTAACATGTAAGCTCACTGAGCAGGCCCTCAATCCCTCTGTTACTGTGTCACTATACCCCACTCCCTCTAACATGTAAACTCACTGAGCAGGGCCTCAATCCCTCTGTTACTGTGTCACTATACCCCACTCCCTCTAACATGTAAACTCACTGAGCAGGACCCTCAATCCCTCTGTTACTGTGTCACTATACCCCACTCCCTCTAACATGTAACCTCACTGAGCAGGACCTCAATCCCCCTCTGTTACTGTGTCACTATACCCCACTCCCTCTAACATGTAAACTCATTGAGCAGGGCCCTCAATCCCTCTGTTACTGTCACTATGCCCCGCTCCCTCTAACATGTAAACTCACTGAGCAGGCCCTCAATCCCTCTGTTACTGTGTCACTATACCCCCCTCCCTCTAACATGTAAACTCACTGAGCAGGGCCCTCAATCCCTCTGTTACTGTGTCACTATACCCCACTCCCTCTAACATGTAAACTCACTGAGCAGGCCCTCAATCCCTCTGTTACTGTGTCACTATACCCCACTCCCTCTAACATGTAAACTCACTGAGCAGGTCCTCAATCCCTCTGTTACTGTGTCACTATACCCCACTCCCTCTAACATGTAAACTCACTGAGAAGGCCCTCAATCCCTCTGTTACTGTGTCACTATACCCCACTCCCTGTAACATGTAAACTCACTGAGCAGGGCCCTCAACCCCTCTGTTACTGTCACTATACCCCACTCCCTCTAACATGTAAACTCACTGAGCAGGACCTCAATCCCTCTGTTCCTGTGTGTCCAACTTGTCTGGTTACAACTACATGTTGTGTTCATCCTGTGTTCGTCCACCCATTGTAAAGCGCTGCGGAATTTGACGGCGCTCTATAAATATAATAATAATAATAATAATAATTAAAAGCTCTGGGGAGAGCAAGATCTGTCGCTAAAGCTTAGCACTCGCTCCCGCACAGAGAGAAGAGCACCGTAAACAACTTCAACATCTGGCTGCTTATCATGTATATAATATAAAACATGTCCAAATGAGCTGTAAAGCAGCATAAGAACATTTTGTTTTATATCAGTGTTTATATGCCATTAACTGGAATTAACAAGTTATAAAACTAAAGAAGCGTGAGGCACCAAGGGGGCCATAAGGCACAAGGCAGAGATGGCACACACAATATTGAGAGATGATATGTTACAGGCCGCAACAGACAAAAGTTTGTAGTAATAATCGGTCACTGACACAAAGGTAGTTACAGACCATCACTGATACATTTATGTGTTAATAAACCTCTTCTGATACAGGTATGTAATAACAAGCTGCAACTGACACAGGTATATAATAACGAGCTGCTACTTCCACAGATATACAGTAACAAACTGCCACTGATACAGATATATAGTAATATATTGCCAATCATACA